ATGGATTAAAGGTGGCGGTTAATTCAGGCGTTGGTGGATTCAGGCTGTAACCAAACCTCCATTCATCAAAGCCTGATGCAACAAGGGGCATTGGATAAGAGCCGCAAGGTTAAGGTGAGGCGTGTACGCGGGAATCTGGTGGATTACCCTCTAGTGCCTGCTAATTTCTAATTCAGGGGGGAAACGCATAGATTAAAGGTGGCGGTTAATTCCCATCTTAGGCATCAGCTGATTTTGGGGACTGATTGGCCTGCTTTTACACAATTATTGGGGATTCTATGTGCAGATCGCTCTTGGGAGACAGGGCTAACGAGAAGAGAAGCCGGGAGACACTGTTACGGGACCCTCACAGACTGTCTCAGAGCAAACGAGAACAAGTGCAGAGGTAACGCCGCCTGAGTTAGATGACTTTCCTCTGGAGCAGTCTCGTGACCAAACGCTCAAACATGCGCTTGAAAGGGTCCGCACCATCGACGGACAAATGCTTCAACCTGAATTCACACCAGCGTCTATCACCCACAAACAGACCAAAAGATATTTCAAATCTTATAAGATTTTCAAAATGTGAGAGACCACAAACATGAGGACAAAAAATCCTAGATTTAACAGTTTTTCTCATATAGTGTGTGGTGTGCCGCGATGTGAAGAAGAAAACACACACGAACAGAGTCCCAACTGTGAACACGGTAAATCTCGCAAAATCTCTCGAGACTTCAGAATAAACATGGTGGACGATAGGCAGGAAGAAATTGATAGTGTTTGGAATGCTTTTGACAGAACATTGCCACAAATTGACAAGCTGATCCTCCATCTCTGATGTCCATTTCCATTTCACTCTGTGCTGCGCCATGACTGCGGTTGTTATGCTTCCGTCTTCTGTCAGCTCACTTTCTGATTGGGTATCGTTTCGTTCCACCTGACAATCGACAGAGTACGTGTGTGTTTGTTTAATATTTACGATTCACGTTCGGGGCGGCTCCGACGTTCTTCCGAGCAGGTTCGGTCACTCTTAACACACCTCACACCACAGGAAAATCTGATAAAATAATCTGTTGAACCATCAAGATAATCGGGACTTTACTTAGGATTGTCGGAAGGGGAGAAGTCGGCCCCAATATCCTGTGGTGTGGCCCCAGCATAATCAAGGTGTTCAGAGTTACAGTTACTTGAAAATAGCAGGCAGGTGTATTGAGGCGGTTGGAGCTGAAGGCTCTTCAGGACACCCTAAAATGTGTGTGTGTGTGTGTGTGTGCTTCCTCTGTGCTGGAGGAAGAACTCCGTGTCAGCCCCTGTAATACAGCCAAATACAGCAGGGCATTTTGTCTATAAATAAAATAAAACTTAAACCCCCTAAACTTTCTCAGGTTCTTTTGCTTTTTTAATTTTTTTTTATCTGGAATTAGAATCCTGTCATATTCTGAAATGTCAAGTCTGACAAGGTGTTTTTTGTTTTTTGATTGATTGATTGATTGGTTGATTGATTGGGGTTTGTGTTTTTATTTATCAACAGGGAATTCTAAATATTTCTTACAGATATTTAAATGTGTCATGAGGTGAATAAATTGTATATATTGTAACTTTTTAGTTATCCACATGGTCCTTCTTAAATGGAACAGTTTAGTTATATTTCATCTGTCTGGTTACATAATGTTTATCTCATTTTTTGACAGGATAATTTGAGCCCATTACTGCATTCATTTTGCTTCCTAATGTAACATTTCCATTTTCATAAATCTAGGATGGGTTTTGGTTTTGTGCATGGCAAATTTATTGAAAGGTGAAAAGTGTTTTTTTTTATAGGCCTATAACAGGTTGAAAAATAAAAATACCAATCATGTCAACTGAAAAGCTAAAAGGAAAGTATTTTCAGAGGTGGAGCAAAATAGTACTTTTTGGAACAAAAAGCAAGCTGTTATTTTGCAGCGTCGGTTCCTCCAAGTTATTATTTGTTATTGTTAACTTTATGCCGTTTGATTTGTCTGGATTATATTATACTGCCATCTTGTGGCTAGAGCTTACTATTGTTTACTGAAAGGTTAACATTTGTTTTTCTTGGTTAACTGGTTTTCTCTAAGGAACTGGACTTTACATTGAACAACCTTAATAAATGTATTAAATGTATTAAATGAATCAATAAATAAATTTAGAACAATAAGACACTATTGGGCTTTTCACTGCAGAAGTGGCACAGAAGCTGCATCTGAAATGGCAATTAAGGCATATTTACACAGAGGGTTTAATGCAGCTCATAGGTGGTATAAATGTATTTACTCTGCAATTGGCAATTGCATATATGTTGCTATGAGATTAATGTTTTAAATATAAAATTTTGACTATAGAAAATGAAGTGTTGGACAAAGATTAAATAATACTTTTAAATATCAAACTATAACCAGTGTGGTGACAAGATTAAATAAATGAGTAATTGAATCATGCATTAGTTGAATGAATGATTCAATGACTTCTTTATCAAAAAGTTAGGGATTTGTTCAAAATGGCTGATTCCTTCATTAACAAAGCAAATGAGTGTTTTTATGGACATTTTTATTAATTTTGGTGGCATTTCCAACCTTGCACAATGCTATTTTACGCCAACGACTAGCTTACTGTTGCCAAGGTTGGCTGTATTGAAATGTTTTAATAGTGGACAAGCTATGCATATGCCTTCCGAAGGTTTACAGTTTCGAGTTCTGCCCAAGTAAATGGACTAATGGCAGTTGAGGTCAGACTGGTTGAGGTAATGTCAAAATGATGAAGCATGATAAGTCATGCTGGGTGTTTACTGGTGGACGAAAGGCCTTTTTGGGGCTTTCAAAGACATTGAAGGTTATAATCCAGATAAAAGTTACTTTAAAAGTTTTGTGCAAGAAGTGAACAATAAAGCTGCATTTAGGAGGCACGACCACAGAAATCACCACGATTGGTCATCTTTCAGGGACAGCCAGACTGTACCAGGCATCACTGATGGGCAGTAACGCGTTAGAAGTAACGCGTTACTGTAATCCAATTACTTTTTTCAAGTAACGAGTAAAGTAAGGGATTACTATTGCAAAAACAGTAATTAGATTACTGTTACTTCCCCGTAAGCAGGCTGCGTTACTGCGTTAGTTAACCGTCATTTTGTTTCGTGAGACTGTCTCGTGCCATGAGTCGTGCGTGAGTGACAATCATGTATAGAGCGCCGCGACGTCAGTGGTGAACACCGAAATGTGTAGTGTTGAACAAGAGACAACGTGGAGCGCGGGAGAGAGACACGCATTTGATTGGTCTCACACGCCACACCCCCGATTTCTCACGCTGAAGTGTCAACCCGGTTGGTCAAATGCCTGAAAGATGAGTTTATCTATAGATCTACCAGTTGAGCCATTCGTGATCGACTAGTTAAACCGCAAAATAGTTTAAATCTCCCGGAATCTAGAGCGAGCGTGCATGCGAGACAGAGGCCGCGTAGCGCACGCGCACCCGCAAAGAGGGAGAGCGTCAGAGCGAGCGAGAGAGAGACCTTGCGTGTGTAGAGAGCATCCTGATCTAGAAACAGGACCCCCGTTGGAGAATGTCAAAATTCCACCTCAAATCTGAGCAAGCACCTAGCAAGAAGAAGGAAGAAGGACGACTTTCTTTATTTCATTAAAATATGGTGGAATGTGCAGAAAATAGGTTTAAATGTTCATCAAAAGTCTGAGACAGTTGCATTTAATTTATTTTTTGCTTGATGCAATGTGCATAAAGTTAAAATATTGAAACTAATAAAACAAGTTTAAAAAAAGAGAGTGTTTCATTTGATACAATTTTAGATGATGGAATATGCAGAAAGAATAGAAGTAGGCTGAAAGGTCTATTTGCTTTATAGCGTATTCAGGTCGTGCATCATGTTTTTGAAAAGTAACTTAGTAAAGTAACTAGTAAAGTAACTAATTACTTTTGAAAATAAGTAATCAGTAAAGTAACTGGATTACTTTCTTGGAGAAGTAATCAGTAATCAGTAACTAATTACTATTTCCAAGTAACTTGACCAACACTGCCAGGCATACACAAACATCTGTGTACAATGGAATTCTTAATTTACTTTTCCACCATGAAAGACGTTAAAAAAAGGATAAACATATACCTACATAAATGAGTAGAAAAAACATATAAACCATGAATATACAAACAGTGCAATATTTCTATAGTGTCTCTGCAAGTTTGGAGGTAATGACAGGGTCAATGAGTCTTTGACCCCTAAGCGTCCTACATCAGCGATTCTCAAGCAGGTGGACAGCAAAGCAAAACATCCAGGTGGCCCAAATAAGTCTTAAAAAAAATGATTAACATAACATTAATTGAAATGCAAAACAAAACCCCACTAAAAGTAAACATATACAACATTACACTGACATAAAAAATGTTAGGCCTATTTACTTAAAACTATTACAACAGAAGACGTTTCTTATCATTGTTTTCTACTTGTAGATTTTTATTTTCCACATTCAATTCATACTGCAAGCTCACAATCAGTCTTTGTCACAAATCGGGTTATTTGATTGATTTTGTTTTGGCGCTGCCGAACACCTTGAGCAATCATAGATATAAACATAGATCCCTCATTAGTGGCCGTTTCAAAAAACGGTCCGCTGGATACTATTGGCATGAATGAATATCTATTTCTGCAATATACTTCAGCAGATGATTTAGGTAAACTAACACAATACAACATGACGAAAGCGTCAGCTACCGTTACCATAGTATAAAAATTGTAATATTAAGTTAATACATATAAAACACAAACCAACACATTCTCACCTGTGAAAGGTTATCCCATTTCTTACGATAGTACCCAACTGCAGATTTAAATCTCGGAGCTTTCACAACCAGAAGCTGCGTAATGTTTTGGCATCATTGATTCTTATTGTGAGTGACGACATTTTGACCGTTCCAAGATGGCGCGCGCGCCGACGTTTGGTGCAGTCAAATGCAGACCCTAAGTATATATTTCTATATGTGAGCAACCAGAACACTGCACATGCGCGTCTCGGTACGACAAATGCAGCATGGCTGAGCACGGGCAGAAACACGCGCTGGAGATGGTAAGTAAAACTTCATTCACGTATTCATTTTTTGGTTTTAGTGCAGCTTTTGGTCAAATTTGACGATCGTGAATGTTGTGTCTTGATGTATTCGTGAACTGCTAGACTGTAATATGTATCACTAAGCAGTGTGAGTGGTGTTCTGTCTGTGAAGATATTTGAAATGTTTCTCCACTTTAGTTTAGTACGTAGTACTATTATATATTATTGCCTCCTAATATATAATATTAATACTATATATCTATATCTCTATATCTCTCTCTCTCTCTCTCTCTCTCTATATATATATATATATATATATATATATATGATCTCCTCTGGAAGCTGTTCCACTTCCAGCACATCTGATCTCCTCTGGAAGCTGGTCCAGCACACACACACACACACACACACACACACACACACACACACACACACACACACACACACACACACACACATATATATATATATATATATATATATATATATATATATATATATATATATGATCACTTCTCAGGGCCCGCTTGTCAAAAATATAAAAGCAGATATACATTAATAGTATCTTGTAAATATTTATTTTATATTGATTTATCAAAGTGGAGAAACATTTCAGGTAGCTTTAAAGAGAATATATATATAAATGCTATATAACCCCCAAAGAGCACACTAAAGGCAACAGTTTTATCCAATTGATCAATTAATAAAGAAATTATTAATGATCAAAATAATCATTAGTTGCAGCTCTAGTTCAATTATTCTGTAGAGAGAAATGTCTAATGTCATCTGATTTGCATCCAAAAGTCTCCTTCACCATTTACATCATAAACTTCAGTATGAAGAGTGTTAAACCTCATGTTGCTGCTGAAACCATCACAACCAGAAAACAAAGCCTCATTTACTCATGGTTGGCCTTATGAAAACAAAACTGAACATTTACCCACTCCATAGCAAATACAGAAATGTTATATACATCATCATTCAAGCCTAAAAATAAATGTCTTTTAAAAAGTGTGTTTGTGATATTAGGCATCACACTTCTGTCTGGAAGTCTCCAGAGCTGTGTGTGTCGATATATATCAACAGTCTTCTACTCTCGAATAGGTCCGGACAGATGGAGCTGATGAAGGTTGTGTGACGTTTGTGCTCCATGAAGAGGATCACACACTGGGCAACTCGCTCCGATACATGATCATGAAGAGGTAAGATAATCTGTTTTTTCTTTGGTTTAGCCACCAACATCGGTTGCCTTTGGGACATCAGTGAGAACTTTGTCGAAACAAGTTGAACATTTTGGCTGGAAATTAAGAATTGTATTTCTGTATCTGTCTGTCTTGGCAGTGTTTAGTTTGATTCATGTGTGACTTTGTTTCCTCAGTCAGGACGTGGAATTCTGCGGATACAGCATCACACACCCATCAGAAAGCAAAATCAACTTCCGGATACAGACGCGAGGTGAGGGGAACTCCTTTATTCACCTCAGCATGTCATCTCTGACAGTTAAGGTCCTTGCACACTGAGTCTGAAATTTTCCTATGTGATTTTTCCTATTTGTCATTCGGTGGCTCTGAATTGTCAAAACGCCTCTCAAAATGCTTGCTACGGATGCGAAGAACGCAGAAAATCGAACCTGGTCCGAATTTGTTTATGACGGACGAAAGTTGTGGCAGTGCAACGTGATTGACACAACGTGAGGTCGTATTATTATTTTTTTTACCGTGCTAAAATTTTGGACTCCGTGTTCAAAGGAACTTTAGCCGTAGCTGTACTTTAGGCGACACCAGTACCAAGTTTGATAACATTTAACATTCATAGTCACTGAAAATAAAAATCATGGTTACATTTAGTGCAGCATTATAGCCTAGTATCTATGATGTATCTTCATGCAAAAGCATGAAGACGTGGTGCAATAATTGAAGGTCAAACTGTTACATCTCTAGTAACATATCTAGTAACATACGAGAAAAAAATCAGAATAGCGCTGCACTGAGAGCCTGAATATACCGCAATATACTTTAAGCAAAATTGAAGAACGAACTGGGTGACGTCATTTAGAACCAAATCAGGCCAAAATGAAGTTTGTTTGGAGTTTGTTGTGTGTCTTTGAAACCGCTTGTCAAAGTGTGCTTTTTAGAAATGTTCCAGATGCATACATGTAATGTTTGTAAACGTGTTTCTTGCATTGTTTGTATTTGAATTAACAAATCAATTTCAACACTTTTTGAAATTGCTTTACTTTATCAACATGGTCCCCGCCTTAAGTCTTAATTCAGTTTTATCAAATTTAAAGGCATAAATTCTTAAATAGTATGTCTTAATTATTATTTCAAGAGGTCTTAAATTTGGGAATGGGAAAACAGGAATCGCAATATGGCTGAATGTGATTAATTATTAACTTCAAAACAGGCAATGATTTTATTAAATGTGCGCTGCACGTTTGAAAGTAAACAGTTCTGCAGGCTCACGCTTTCAGTTATATGAATGTATATCTGAGGGGAAATGACTGTCTTCAGAAAAGGTTCGATGACATTTTCTTTTCATATTATTACCTACATATGTTTAATTAAAGTGCTGTTTATAAGCACAGCTTTGTGTTCAGGGGTTACCAAGGTAACAACTATATTTCTGCTGTTTCATAAACAAGTCTCTACTGGCAGAGGATAAATTTACGATTTCATTCAGCCTGTCTGCTGTTTTTGTTCAGGATAATGTGAAAACTGACCCATATTTTTACGCAGCATACATGTAGTGTTATGAATAAACATAAGAGTGTTCATTAGCTCTCTGATCAATGTTGCAGAAGGAACTGCAGCATCTGAACCCCTGCGCAATGGGCTGAACAACCTGACTGAAGTGTGCAAACATGTCTTGCAAACTTTTGAGGTAAGACTGAACATGGAAAGTATTATTTCCCTTTAGTGGTGGCTGGTGGGTGATATACAGAAATTTGACAATGGTATTCGCCTTATTTTCGAACGCGGAAGTAAATATGGGTCCAAATTCCGGTTTTTGTGCGGCACTTCCGTTTTTTCACTTCCCTGGTCTAACTAACGTTAGCTGAACCAGCTTTGGCTGAACTAAATTGGTGAACTATGTCGTGGGAACATTTCCAAAAATCGCTGAACAATCGAAATGGCAGGCGCCCGTCGTGCACGAATTTACACTGATAATATAAAAATAAATAAAACTCTAAATAGCGATAAATTTCGCTCTATTCGCGTTTGGTGTGAATTCAGCATAATGAAAAGGCTGCGATGTCAAGATTGCAATGCTGGTGGAGTGTGTGTGTGTGTGTGTGTGAGAGAGAGGCGCGGGCGCGATCGAACAGTGGAAACATAAAACTCCGTCATTTTGTTCATCATTCAAACTGCAAAGTGTTTACTTATATTTGTGTACACTCGCAATACAACACAACATTGTGCTTTTGTCACACTCTAAACTCTTGTCAAACTGTAACCTAACTGTCACCCAACCAAACACACACAAACACATACACAGTTTTAAAACCAAAACATTATTTATCCAACCTCATTTCAAACCAGTCTGTGAGAATAAAGTTAGGGTTAATTAAAATTAAGGAAAACAAATTGATCTGAAATATAGCAAATTAATTTTAAATTCATTCAGGTACAATTACCAAACATATCGCAAGGTCTTTTTGTCTTTTTATTAATTTAATTAGTAAACTAATTATATAAAACTATTGTCAGTGCACTACAAATAATCTGGTTCAATGCATTTATTAATAAAAACTTATTTAAAAAATACAAGGCTTAAGACATTTATAAAAATGCCTCCTGCATTTTTTTTTTTGTTATTTACATGTGGTTCGGACAACATCACTCGATCAAAATATGACTAAATACAACAAATTATATTTGCAATTCAAATTAAAACAGATAGAAAATTTTACAAATACACATTTTAATTGGACACAAGTTAAATATAATGTTTTTGTATCTGTAAACATTTAAATAATCTAAAAATAAGTTGATATTATACAATACTTGAAAAGTCATTACAAAACTGAAAACATCAAGGTGCCAAACACTATTTAGTTAAAACCTGAGATCAAAACACATTCTTGTGCATTATAATTCCATTGGTTTACAGTTTACTGTAAAATAACTAATCAGCAGTGCAGAATAGAGATACTTAAAAAATAAAATGTTAAAGACAAATCATATGTGCAAATGATAGTACAATCAAGGCACTGCAGGCTGTCAAGTAGGCCTAATTATTTACAAATATTAAGCTACAGTGGAAATCAGGATCTTTTTGACATGTAAACTTGAGTTTCATCATGGTCATCAATATTTGATCCATTACGTGCATCTTAAAGTTTGCTTTATAGAACTGTTCCAGATATTTAACATGATCAAAAAAGGCACTGAGAGAAAGGCCTGTGTACAACACACAGCTAGTGTCATTCTTCAGGATGGCATGGGCAAGGGGTAATGGGCAATCTTTTCTCCTAATATGTAGGTGTGATCCATCATTGCCTGAACCTCCCACTGAGTGTCAGCATCTTTATGCATTGGTGACTCTGACTGTGGATCGCTCTGGTCAGCCTCCTCATCACAGTGGCTGTCATCTGCCAAACATAAGAGCACATAAGCCCAGTTTAGCAAACAACATAAAACATACCTAGACTACTTGTAGACTAATAGAGCAACACCTGTATTAGTGCTCATTCAAATAATCATATTGCAAAGGCCTACTGCTTCCAAATTTTACAAATGCCCTGGGCTAGCATGGGATGAAAAATAAACAAATATATCATTAACCCTTGTGCATCCTTATGGACATTTTTGTTCTTTTCAGTTTTTTTTTAATCACTTTGCCTGTGTTAATGCTAACTGCATAACATTTGGCACAGGTTCAACATGTTTCATTGTGTGTGTATATATTATATATTATAGAGCCAATTGGATAAATTATGCAATGATATTTGTGTGGGTGTGTTGGTATGGATTTCAGAGTGTGGTTAGTATGTGTGTTATAAAAAAAAATGTGTGTGTGTTTGTAATATTGAGAGAGATACAAATAACAAATCCAATCACTGTGTGCACCAGTGGAGCTTTGATGGCACCCAATGGGGAAAATCTGTTACTGCGCACAAACAAAATCTTACCGAAAGCTCATTTTTTGAGATATATGGCCTTGATTTTCTAGCTGTTTTAGAGTTCAACTTGTTTCATAAAATATATATTTTATATAAATTAATGCTCATAAATAATTTTCATAAACTTAAACCCATATAACCAAATTTACTTATTATTTTTTTTACCTCAACAGCAATAATCTGCCACGGGTCTTCTTTAAAATGATATCTGTGCTCCCAAGCTTAATTTTTATGACAGTTTTTTGACACGGACATTTTTGTCCTCTATGTAACTTTTTTAAATTGATGCACAAGGGATAAATATACTGAGAGAACAAACTTAAAAGACAGTTGGCTTTATGTGAGAGCATATATTAACTGTCAAGCGGAACACAAACTGGGAACTAACAAGAGTTAACATTACCTGTGTCTGCTAACCTCTGGACACGTCTCCTTTTTGTATTTATTGGGACTTCGTAGCCCAGCCACTTTTCTGGTATCAGGTGGTCTTCTGTAGGTCTTGTATCCACGAAATGAAAAGAACAAACATACGGTCGCTTCGGTGGTTTCTTCAAATTTAAAGCTTTAACCACAGGCGAAGGGATTCCTCATTCTTCGGCGGGGGGTGAAGGTCGTTGAGCGCCTCGCATCCACATTCAGCTCTCATACGCGATCGATGATTAAAGCACTCCGTCCTGCTCCAAGTAAATCTTTCTTTTGTACCAGTTATTATGACAACCTCTAACTGCACAAACAATCCCGGTCTTCCTCTAAGCCATAACGATGATTTAGTTGTTACGGAGACTTGTTTGTTTAACCGCTACGGTGAAAAGTGAGTTAGATAGACAGTGACCGGAAGTGCCTGACCCGAAGTCTCGCACAAAAAATCGTCAACTGGCTGCGTCCGTATTTCCGTTAAAAATAAGGTGAATACATTACGATTGCTCAAAATGTTACCATTTTGAAGCCTTGGGTGTTTAAAAGTGATTTTCCACAGTTCAAGCACAATACGACTTGAAAGAGAACTCGATTCGGTTCTCATGCTCTGACAGACTTTTTCTGTGCACACACCCCTGAAGTGCACATACAGAGCATGTAAGTACTGATTTGTCTTCTTGCTTATTGAAACATTGGCTTTTTTAACAATCAAAGACATGTCAAAATGTCTGCTTTAAGACTGGCCAATGGGACTACAGATATCATGGAGACAATTAGCCTGGCTAACGTCAGACCAGGTCTCATTGAGACGTGGTCTGGGAACCACATGTTCATTTTCTCGTATTTGAGGCGTGGTTTACGAATGCCCAGAGCCGTTTATTGGGTGCTTCGAATGTCTATCAAATGCGCCTGTACGTAGCTCATAGCCAATCGTTATGAAATGGTTTAACGCCAAAAGCTGCTCTTTTTTCAAAATAAACTTGCATTCTAAACTACTTAGAACAATATCTAAGGCTGCATCGAAAGGTAACTTCGCGTCTGCTGCCATGTTTGATCCATAGGTATAAACAAACTGCTTCGGTGTGTCGCATAGACGTCATCATCATCTTGCTGCTCCCTGCTCGTTCTGTGATTGGTCCCAGTAGCGGTTTTGGGCACGGGCGAACCGGGCAGCCGCCCGGGGCGGCATTTTTTCATGACACATGGGGGGCGGCACGAGCAGTAAAAAATTCAATTAAAAAAAATCCTCTGCACCGTGAAGCAGTTTTCTATTATCTATCACCTGGGTCTCCAACACGTCCAGCTCGTGGCTTAATTGGAGGTAGCTCGCCAAGGGACCGTTTACATATCGCGTCTTTTCAAGTTCGTTCAAATGTAGGCGCGCTCATTTTTTCCAAGCGCAGAAAGTCTCTACTTTCTAGAATGTTCTTGTCACATCATGACCTGTTTGCAGCAAACTAATCAGCTTCACCCTTTCCGTAACAATATTGAAAGCTCAGTCAACATGAAGGATGGGGGCGCACCCAAACACTACGGGAGTTTTTCTCTTCTCCGTAAATTAATCTTGTAGCAGAGCTACAGCAAGCGTTTTTCGGTGGTGGAAATCCATTAGCTACTAAAACTTCTTTGTCGTTGTGTAGAGTGCAGTGCATGGTTGCATAGCAACAACAGACGCCACGGGAACATCGGACCGAATTTTACTAAAAGATAAGCTAATGTGCATTATAAATGTCAGTAATTTATCTTTTTTGACTCATTCTTTTTATAAAAAAAAATATTTAAATGCTGAAATATGTGCGGTTTATCTCTTTATAAAACCTTTTTTGTCAACTTTATTTGAACTTGTACCGTTAGTAGATGGTGCAAGACACTCTTTTGAAATCTGGCCATCATTTTTAATGTTATTATTTTAATGTTTATGTAAACAAAAAGTGCATATTGATGCTAATTTTATTTGTTAATTGCTAGTTTTCGACATAAAACTTGTTGAATTGGTTTAATTGTGTAGTAGTACTTTTTGAACAGGATTCTGTGATCATTTTGGCCACTATAATCATGAAATTAAATGTTCATGCCATTTCATCTCTAGTTATGATCAACTAAAATCAACTATAATTATGTACTTTTACAGTATATTACATGCAAAGTACAATTTTCTATAAAAAAATGAAAGTGCTCCCCGGGGTGTAATTCAATGTAGAACCGCCACTGATTGGTCCCCTCGCTGAGGCGAAAATCTGGTCCATGGAATCCAGGCTGCCTAGCAGCGTGAATAAAATCGCACTGCGCAAAGGCAGCATGGGGAAACCCAGGCTAGGAGACAATATGAATAGAGCTGCAC